CCCAACCCCAAACCCAACCCCAACCCCAAACCCAAACCCAAACCCAACCAAGAGGGAGAGCATACTATGATAAGTAATTCGATGCTTTATTTTGAGATTTTCACAAGAACAAATTTATTATTAAGTATTATTTTAGTTTACTTTCAGAAGGTAATTTTATAAAAATTATAATATTTAAAGAGAGTGCCATGCAAGCCCATTTTTTAATTTCAACTATTGAGATTTTATTTTCATGAAGCTTCTGTAAATATAAAAAAAATTTTATTTTTTTTTTCGTAATATTAATTAAAATTAATAATTCTCATTATTCTTGATATCTTCTGATTTGGATTTACTTTGAGTTATTATCCCAAGTAATCAAATACTCTCCATCATCACTCATATTTCCAAATAATGAATTTGTATTGAAATGTATAGATTATTCAGTTGCGAACTCTCCATTTAATTACTTGCTTATTAAATTGACATATTAGCCATATTTACTCACAAGGATACATTTTGAATTTATATATAATTAAGGAAATAAACAATCATCGCCTTATCTACATTTTATATGAATATCTCTAGTCTTTGTAAACTATTGACTTCCACTGTTCATCTCATAAATAGATATCTATAATTTGTCATGCTATGAGAATGTAAACATATTATTATCAATAAAGCATAATCTATATCCATATTATTCAACTACAATCTTTTATATTACAACCCATTCCTTATTCTAAAATTATTGTTCCATTATGAATATTAATTTATCCCTACTACAAGAGACAACTCTATTTTATTATTAATTAAAACTCAAACCAAATACAGAACCGGAATGATCTTTAATTGTTTACTAACACTACCATTCACTCTTTTTCATCCAGAATTTAATTGTATTATCCTCACTTCCTGATACAATTAAATCTTCATTATTATTTAATAATAGACAATAAATAATATTACAATGTCCGTTTAATATGTATTAGGGAACCCATTAATTATTTTCATTTTATTACCATATAATGATAGATTTATCACAACTCCCAGATATAAACTAATATGATTTCTTCATAAAGTTGAGAGTATATACTAAATCTTTATGTTCACTTAAAATTTAAGTTTGCTTGATCATATCTTACTTGAATTCAAATACTTTAATTTGTTTATTACATCCAGCCAATAATATTGAGCAATCTTTATTAATAGCTATTGCACCACACCAATCATTATATGAAATTGAATATTGTTGAATTAGTTGATAAGTGTAGGTTTTCCCATTTGATTTATTAGTGAGTGATTGTATTTCTTGATTTGTTTATGGTTCATTTAATGATAAATCCTTCAGTTTTATTTGATTGTTGGGATTAAGTTGGATTAAGGGTTATATGGCTAAACATAATTATTAAACAAAGTTTGAATTCTCAAATTTTATTTAAGGTAAGTCAAGGATAGGTACAAAAGGTTTTTTTTCAGTTTTTTTTATATTTAATGAATCAGAGTTGTTATTAAGAAATAAATCTAAATAAGAGTCGATTTTATTGAATGAAGTCTAGTTTATTGATTAATATTACATTTATTTGATTTTATGCCAATTCGAAGCATTCAATAAGCTTTTATTAATAAGCATCATTTATTATTCCAATATTCTTATTCATTTCTCTATTACTTTAATTAATATGTTAATTATAAACAACTAGATATATATTTCTTAGTAAAAATTACATAAATTAATATCAGTTTGCTCTAAATTATCGAATTCTATTTGTATAATATAATGATTTTGAGGATAGCGATTTTATGATTTCGAAGTAATATTAAAACAATATTATTAAGCTTATTTTAATAAATGATAAAAAAAGACGAATTATAATAAGTTAATTAAAAATTATTAGTTTGGGAAGATTATTGATAAATAATAAGATTGAATAACTTAAATAGATTACATTGTTAAATTTTCAATTTTCAATTATTGTCATGGCCTACTTGATTGGCTCGCATACAGCTAAATGCAAAAACTTTTACTCTTGGTTTATTGTTAATTTCGCTTAAAAAAGTCTAGAGTACAGATTTTGAATAATGTCAGAACGTAATTTGAGTAGTTGACACCAATAAGATTGAATTGTAGAATCATTCTGATAATACCTTCAGTAAAATGCAAACTCAATTATGAGGGTAGTTTGATAAGGACAGAAATAAATATTGACGAATAGATATGAGTACTTTTATACAGATTAGGAAGTCATTTCTAGTTCATTTTATTAATAAGTAGATTAAGTTCAGATGTTGAAACTCACTTTAATTAATCATGTAATAACATGAACCAGTCATAATTCTATATCTGGTTGATATTTAAATAAATTAATTATATATAGATTAGTTATTAATGATGTAAAAGCTAGGGCAATACAGAATTGTGAGAAGCCAAACTATATTTTTAATTTAAGGGAAATTTAATTGTTTGTAAATAATTCTCAGCGTCTATCTGATTAATAGCTATCTAATTTTAACTTCAGATCCCCTTATCCTTTGATTTATAGAAACTTTAAGATTCAAAAGCCTTCTAAAATAAACTCATGTTTCCTATTGACAGCCTTAATTTTTGATTTAAATAAGACCTAAAAATATTTAAAATATCAAAATTAGTAGAAATGAAATTTAATTCTTTTCTAAGTTAAATTTATTTGTGATAATCAATTTAATTGGAGCAATGAAGGTTGAGATTAAGTACTCCAATTTTGAATACTGTGAAATATTAATGTAGATATAATGATATCATTGATAGATTGATAGGATAATGATTTCTAAAAACTAAGGATTATTTAAAAGATAAATATATGGTGATAATTTATTTAAAACGTTTTTTTTAAAAGGGATCAAGTTGGGTATTCCTATTTAAAAAAATAATAGAATGTTCCTAATTTTTCAGTTAAGAATTATCAGATTGTAATTTTAAACGGATCATCCTAGACCATTATTTGTTACTGTTCCATATATTTTTCAATGATTGCAATTTAATTAGTTAATTATTGATAAATTACCATCATTTTGCACTTTAATCATGTAAATCGCCTATATGTATCTATGCATAGAAGATTTTTAGCTTTATTATAAATTATAGGAAATAGTTTAATATTTAATAAAATTTATTACTTTTATTCAATTACACTCTTTTTCTCATATTTTCTTAATATAAACCATCTACATTTTCAAATACACATAGACTATTACTTTTATCTTGGAGCCATATAAATTAATCTTCTTTTAAAAATTTTATGCTTTCCAAATTCTTCTTTCGATAACTTATATTAATTGCAATTTACAAAATAATATCCATTTAAAACAGAAAATACCATTAATTTAATTTAATGTAATTTAGTATTGTTTATACTTAAAAATTATTTAATGATATATTTTCAATCGCTGTAACACCCTACTAGAACATCCACTGATTATTTAATGCTTTTAGCTAAATTATAATTTAATCACTTTGACTTGAAGCTAAAACTCTTTCTGATTCATTTAAACTTAACGATAAAATAGAAGAATTATGCTTCTCTAAAGAATAGAGAATCGATATATTATTATTTTTATAATCTACCCTCCAGACTTTAATTGTATTATCTTAACATAAAGAGAAGATTAATTAATCTTCTTTTTATGTTAAGATAATTCAATAAACTTTGCCACTATACAATAAGTCTAACAGCCTTACCATTTATTATTTAAGGATTTCCAAAATATAATTGATCGATCATCAGATCCAGAAAAAAATAATCCCCAATCTAACTAAAAACAAGACAATTAATGATCTTTAAATGTCCTAGAAGTGCATGTGCTAATTTGATATTTGCATTTTCAAAACTCAAAATTTTAATATCCTCTTTACTAGCTGCAACCATAATCTTCCCTGTTGGATCAAACACAATTGCTTAACATATTTCAGCTTATTTAACTGAATCATTCATAAATTACAGTCCATATTGACTCAATTACTATTAAATCTTATTAGAGCTTAATTAGTCTTTTCCTGATTTTCATTAATATTTAGATTGAAGTTCTATTCTAATTAGGATGATAATTCTTTTAATATTTGTTGACAACTTTGTTATTCTTCAAATTACTTTAATGAATCCAACTTATTATTAATTATTTTGTACAAGGAATCATTTAATTATTTAATCTAATTTACTTAATTTATCTGATTATTTTCACCTGTATTTTAGCCCATAATCATGATATCTAATTCTTTATGGAGACTATACTCTGAATATTTTTAAACTATGGATTATAAATTTGATATCCAATCCTTTGCGTTCCCTATGAATTGATCTAATCATAAAACAAGAAAGGACCCAAAGTATATAGATGACCTTAAAGTGACTAAATTTTTGTTATAATTGGTGCGATACTATTTTCCAAGCATTCTATTTATTTTTTCTTATTATGTTCAATTATTTCGATGAGTTTTTTTCAATCCTATTATCTTTTCATATGACTCAAAGTACTCATGACATTGATGGCATAGGAATCTTTTATTTAGATTAAATTTATGACTTAAAACAACTGTACTAATTTGTTGTTAATGTTTCATTGAACAAATAAAATCTTTCTCTTTTTCTATCATTTTTGGTTTATACATTTTAATTAAAATATTTCTAATAATGCCAACTTCAAAACAGCCTGGAAACAAATTTCAATAATTGTTATAGAACTACTATTTATTATTATATTCATAATGTTGTGAATTTTTTTATCTATGTTACTTATGACTTAATTACAATAGAGTATAAATCATGGTGATGAGTTAAATCAGAATCATGTTCCTATGAAAACCCTCTGAAGTTATTTCTACTTGATTTGAAATTTATGCTTCAGATTTAAAAAGTGATCTTAAACATTCATACTTGGTTTTAAGCATGTAAGTTAAGGTTGTCACAAAACTTGCTTAGAAAATCTCATATTTTTAAAAATAAATATATGTAATTAGAGATAAAACAAATCAAAGTATCTTAGTTCTATGCGCAATTTTTCTATTTATAAGTAATATTCAAAATTGAGTAGAAGAAATAGAAAATGAGACGAAACTCCGATTATTATTATGAAAGATTTAGTAATCCTACTCATAATAAAACTAAGAAAGAAATGGGAAAATTGTCGAAAATTGAGAATGAAGATAAGAAAAATTAAAAGAATATATTAAATCTTCTTAATTTGAAAATGATCAAAGCAAATTTAGAATTAGGAGATAATTATATAAATAAAATTCAAATTAGTTTTGAGATATTTAGAAATTTAATAAATAATTGAGCAATAAGAGAAGAAAAATGCTTATTGAGTAGAATTATAATAATTGTATCCCTAATAGTAAATTGATCCTCAAATCTTAAAATTTTTTTCGCAAAATATAAAAAATAGATTAGTTGCTTGAAAGAATCTCTAAAACTTTTTAATGGGTAAGTGCATCTCACCCTTATCAATATGGCAAATTAATATATTTATATCATGTTTTTCATTTTTTTATATTTTACTATATTTATCTTATTAATGATCTTTTCTCCATCTAGATTTAAGCAGCAATTATAAATGGAGGAGAAGGAACAATAATAATAATTCTATTTGGAAACTCTAGCAGATATAATTTTATCAATTAGCAATACAGAATAATCGCAAATTGATAAAGGAATATTATCTGTTATTTATATGTCGTCAAGCTACAATTACAAACTTAAGCTATTTTAAAATCAAAATGATCTTAATCAATAAGAGCAAATTGTTTTATTAAAAATAGATATACATGAATTTTTTCGATTATCCCAATCTAAATTATCAATAGAATGAAGTTTTATTTAAGTGTTGTTTTTTTTGTTGATATTTTTACATACTTTTGATACATTAATCATGTTTATACTAAAAAATTCTTTCANCCTATTATCTTTTCATATGACTCAAAGTACTCATGACATTGATGGCATAGGAATCTTTTATTTAGATTAAATTTATGACTTAAAACAACTGTACTAATTTGTTGTTAATGTTTCATTGAACAAATAAAATCTTTCTCTTTTTCTATCATTTTTGGTTTATACATTTTAATTAAAATATTTCTAATAATGCCAACTTCAAAACAGCCTGGAAACAAATTTCAATAATTGTTATAGAACTACTATTTATTATTATATTCATAATGTTGTGAATTTTTTTATCTATGTTACTTATGACTTAATTACAATAGAGTATAAATCATGGTGATGAGTTAAATCAGAATCATGTTCCTATGAAAACCCTCTGAAGTTATTTCTACTTGATTTGAAATTTATGCTCCAGATTTAAAAAGTGATCTTAAACATTCATACTTGGTTTTAAGCATGTAAGTTAAGGTTGTCACAAAACTTGCTTAGAAAATCTCATATTTTTAAAAATAAATATATGTAATTAGAGATAAAACAAATCAAAGTATCTTAGTTCTATGCGCAATTTTTCTATTTATAAGTAATATTCAAAATTGAGTAGAAGAAATAGAAAATGAGACGAAACTCCGATTATTATTATGAAAGATTTAGTAATCCTACTCATAATAAAACTAAGAAAGAAATGGGAAAATTGTCGAAAATTGAGAATGAAGATAAGAAAAATTAAAAGAATATATTAAATCTTCTTAATTTGAAAATGATCAAAGCAAATTTAGAATTAGGAGATAATTATATAAATAAAATTCAAATTAGTTTTGAGATATTTAGAAATTTAATAAATAATTGAGCAATAAGAGAAGAAAAATGCTTATTGAGTAGAATTATAATAATTGTATCCCTAATAGTAAATTGATCCTCAAATCTTAAAATTTTTTTCGCAAAATATAAAAAATAGATTAGTTGCTTGAAAGAATCTCTAAAACTTTTTAATGGGTAAGTGCATCTCACCCTTATCAATATGGCAAATTAATATATTTATATCATGTTTTTCATTTTTTTATATTTTACTATATTTATCTTATTAATGATCTTTTCTCCATCTAGATTTAAGCAGCAATTATAAATGGAGGAGAAGGAACAATAATAATAATTCTATTTGGAAACTCTAGCAGATATAATTTTATCAATTAGCAATACAGAATAATCGCAAATTGATAAAGGAATATTATCTGTTATTTATATGTCGTCAAGCTACAATTACAAACTTAAGCTATTTTAAAATCAAAATGATCTTAATCAATAAGAGCAAATTGTTTTATTAAAAATAGATATACATGAATTTTTTCGATTATCCCAATCTAAATTATCAATAGAATGAAGTTTTATTTAAGTGTTGTTTTTTTTGTTGATATTTTTACATACTTTTGATACATTAATCATGTTTATACTAAAAAATTCTTTCATTTACTTTAATTTTTGTGATTTGTAATAAAAATGATTGAAGGATGACCTTAAGGCTTTTGTAAACTGATATTGAAATTTCATAAAAATTTCTTTGATAATTTGAAGAATAGCTTTACAACTAAAGAGAGGAATATAAACATCCCAACAACTTTAACATAAAAGTTTAAATTTTAATAATTTAGATCATTAATAATTTATTATTGCATAATTTGATAATTCCTAAATAATTAACTTTATTTAATTGTTTGTTAACAATTATACTAAGTGTGATAAATCAGCCGACTTATATTTTAATTAGCATTTCATCATAATTTTAGATATTTTGAGTATGAAAGATAATTAAATAATTATATATTTCTTTTACATTTTAATGGAAAACATTAAATGTAAAAACCTGAATCATGCAAATGTAGCAATTATTGGGTTTTGTATGAAGCAAAATTGTTAGAACGAAACAAAATATTGTTTGGAATGTTTAAATACTACTCATTATGAACATTTAATGATTGTATTCAATTCACTAAAAGGATCTAATTCTGAATGAATTCAAGCAAGTTTACAATCAACTTGACCAAGAATTGAAATAAATCTCAAAAAAAATAGAAAACATTTTGGAATAGATTTTAAAAAAATGGATCAGGAAATTGGAATATAGGAAAATATGACACAGCAACTTCTTAATAAAGAATACTCGACCTTTACATCATATATTAAAAAAGTCAAGTAGTTTTATTCTAAGGAAAAGAATTATCCAAATGTATCTTTAACTAATTGATTTATCATATAATAAAATAATTTACTCAAAACAAATTAAAATAATATAATTGAATAATATCTTAATTCAATATAGAATATGGCATCAGGTTAAAATAAAGCTGACGATGACTTCAATTCTAGCAATAAAAATGATCATAAAATAGGATAAAAAGAATCTTAAATTGAAGATAAAAAGCAATTAAATATTTAAGAGGCTGATAGATTTTTTGATGATGGTATGCATCAATTTAATTTATTTTAGGAATTGCCTTAAGTAGATCAAAGAAATATTATGAAGCAATTGAGTGCTATGATAAGGCTATTGGTATTAATCCAAAATAACCTTCTTTTTGGAGTCATAAGGGTAATTAACAGTTAAACATAAATAATTAGGGTATGCATTAATTTTTCTAAATAAATATTAAGAAGCAATTGAGTGCTATAACAAAGCTATTTTCTAAAAACCAAGAAATGTTGTTGCTTTCATTAATAAGGGTATATATTAGTTACATACTATTATTTAGGTTAGGCATTAAGTGCTCTAAATAAATATGAAGAAGCAATTAAGTGTTATGACAAATCACTTTCCATTAATCCAAAGTGTTTT